GATTAAAATAAGCACATGCTGCCCAGGTCCAGACGTGTTATCTCGAATACGGCATTCCGCATCCCGCCCGGATTTTCAACTGGCTAATCTCGCCTCCAGCCAAGCTTGTGTTTTGACACTCCAAATCGAAATACTGCATCTTCCATGCATGACGTATTATTATAATCAGTGTTTCGTCGACATATCTAGAACTCCTCCAGCGATTTTCGTAGTTTTACTTTGCAAAACAAGTTCCGTCGTGGTAAGTAAAGCTCTAGGTAACTTTGTATCTTCTGGTTTTAGAATAATATATAGCTCGATTATGATAGCCGCGGCATTCAGATAATCATAAAGTGATGATTAATTGCAAGCTTCATCGTTTGCCTTCACATAGCAAAGCTTTTGGCTCTGTCAGTTCTAATGTCTGTTACCCTGAGAAGAAAAGAGTCTAAAATCAACCAAATCGTGCAAAGTACATTATAAAATGAAAACTGACAACAGAACGATGGCAAAAGCCAAACAGCAAACAACAATTTACAACAAAGAACTTTGTCTCACTTGATAACCAGTTCACTGATTATTAGCTATGCTCAAAAACCCAATATGCTCTAAAAGCTATTAGACTTTACCGTCAGTGTTTAGCAAGGAATGGAAATAGAAAAAATGTAGCTTACTTTTTGCGCAACGTTTAAAACTCATTGCAATTTTAATTTGCGTTGACTTCCTATTGGACCTTCTATTGTCTTTCAGGGAAACCACCTAGTGTTGTTTCAGTCTCTATCACTTTTGTTTCGTTTTCATCAGAAGACTGAGAAACTGAACACGGTAACTTTATAACCTGCAAGCTGTCCGTGACTGATACCTTTGGGTGCACATATTTCAAGTATAGCTGATTTTTTTAATACTTTAAATTTACACTGGGAGAGGTTTCCATAAATCGAGTGACTAATTTTCTTCTTGTTGTCAGCCTGAGGTATCAGTGAGTCACGCGAATAATGAAGTCACCTGAATAATTGTTTGAAAGCATCGTTTACGCAGTAATAATTTGTTCAACTTTTCCTTCTCTTCTACTTTTAGAGGAAAAGGTCCTGCTATTGACGATCATTCAATTTGGTTTCATTCTGGTCGACTTACCAAAACCAGTGAGTATAAATAAATATTCTACTAGCTTTGTTATTCATAGTAGAGTTCAATCATTAACTACTTTTAACCGTAATCACTAACTACTTTTAACTCTGACGTCATGAAATTAAAGACTATTCAAAACCAGTTATAGTTAATGACGCTGGTGTGACTGAAACGCGATTAGCAAGCTGTTTTGAAAACCCCTATTCTTTAACTCATTAGTGCTTCCAAAGACTCCCGAAAGGTAAATTAATCTCTCCAGTCACTGAGTAAATGCGATTTGCGGTTTTTCATCCCGCATCCCGTCCCTCATTTTGAAAGTTAGCCCGCACTTCTTGATTGAAATGAGCACAGGCTGCACAGGCTGCACAGAATGATATTTTTATCCCGAAACCCGCATTGCACATCCCGCCTGGATTGTCAGCCTATCTCTCCTTCCACCAAGCATATGTTTTGACGCAGTGTTTCCTTGAAATATCTAGAAACCCTTAAGCGGTTTTGTAGCTTCACTTTCCAAAGCAAGTTCCGCTATTGTAAGTACAACTCTAGGTAACTTTGCATCGTCTGGTTTCTACCTTGACCAGCCAGAATAATATATATGCATAGCTGGATTATGATAGCCACGACATTCCGACAATCACAGAGTGACGATTAATTGCAAACTCAATCGTTTCCTGTAAGAACGGGAAAGATTTTGGTTCTGTGAACTGATATTGTTACCACCAGAAGGCGACAAAGGGAATCAGAGAACCTGCAAAGTAAATTATGAAATGATCACTCGCATATAAGACAAATGAAAAATTACAACAGAACGATGGCAAAAGCCATGCTTATTTACTTGTCTTATTTGACTTCAGACAAGTTAGTCAGTTTCTATGATAGGAAGACGAGGAATGTAAATTCTATTCATTCAACGCATGGTTAGTGGAGGGAATAGTTTTGAAGCCCGACAAGCTTTAGAAGAGCAAACAAAGATGCCAAGATTTATGTTGGAAGGTCTACGACTCTAAATATTCTTTCGCTTTACCACCATACACCATGCATAAGTCACATAACCGAACCGTTTCAGTTAATTTATATAGTCTATTAAGCAGAAACAATTATGCATTGTGTTTTATGCATGGTTAAGGCCAAAATTAGTACAAAAACATACAACGAAGAACTTTGTCGGGCTTCATAATCATTTCAAACTATTAACTATGGTCAACAACGCAATATCAATTGAAAGGCGTTGGACTGTAATGTCAGTATTCAACAAAAAAAAAGTGGAGATAGCAAAAACTGTTACATTTTTTAGGAGAACTGATTTAATTCGATTGTTTTGCACAACGTTTGAACCTTTTTCAATTCTAATTTGCATTTGCTTTTCTTTTCAGTTTCTATCCCTTTTAATTCAATTTCGTCCGAGGATCGAGAGACTGAAAACGGTAAGGTTATTAACTCTAAGCTGTTGGTGACTGATACCGTGACATTCACATATAAGATGTTTATGCTAGCGATGTTTAATACTTATAATTTACACTGGAAGAGATTTGCATCAATAAATATCGCATGACTGTTTGTTTTCAGTTTTTGAGCGTTACCTGGAAGTCACGCAAATGATTAGTTAAAATGACTAATTGAATGCAGAAACCGTTGGTAGAAAAATCAATCTGCTTAACATTTCCCTATTTATTATTTTGACATGCAGGGAAATTTCCCGTTATTGGCGCATATTTGTTTTTGTTTTCATTCTGGCGAATCAGTAGAAGTGTTGAGTGCAAATCAGTGTTAACTTTGTTATTCATATTTGGCTAAAATTATCTCACAAACTGTTAACAGTCGCTTTACATTTTAAACGGAAAGAAAGAACCCTAGAAAATTTTGCGAATTTGATGATCGAAAAAAAACAGCGAACATTTATTAGTCCAAGCGTCACCTTCATTTGGAGCAGAGTAGGACAAAACTGGAAATAGTCACACATCAGACATATACTTTTAACGAATTAACCTTTGAATGCGACACTGTGCCGACTATGTTCAGGGTAAAGCTCTTTTACTGGTCTGATTTAATTTCCTCGGACACTTTGAAGTAGATTCATGAGTGTATTAGAGAAAACTAAGTTGACTTTGTGGCTGCCTTTACTACTGACGATGTATAAATTTTGATATCGGCCTTGATTTGGTTTTTGTTGTTGGTCTGCGTTTGTTGGGGTATCTATTTACTGAAACAACAGCACTGTTTCCTCTGTGTCCCTAGTTTTAAAATCGGTGTAGTGTTACCATCTAATTAACGTCTTAGTTCCCTATATTTGGTGAGCATCTTGTATGTATGGTTAGAGCACTTTCAGTCTGGTCTCAATTTAGATTAGAAATCAGGCCTCATATGTGGTTAATTTTTTATGTCTTGTCCTTGCTCAGGTAATGGGACTTCAAAACAAAACCTCTAACTGCCAAACTGAACTCAAAACAACAAAAATGAGAAGCTAGAGAAAGGATTTGTAATCGGTCTAAAGCTTAACGGTGATTCCTGAGCGAAGAAAAAAAACCGGAACAATACTAAAATATTAAACGCTTAAAAACGCTAACGGACTCACGTCGGTCGGAATGAATAACTCTGACGTCATGTACTAGCTGTACTTGATGACGCTTGTGTGACAAAACCTAATAGATAGGAAGTGATTGGGAAGCCGTTCAAAAACTCGCCTTCCGCGTTTTATCAGGGCCTCGAGACACTCGAAGACAATAGCAGCATTTAGCTAATGGACTCGTCCTCAGCTTTTTCGCGTTTGGATCAGCGCTATTTGTACAGACGAAATACTAGTCCTAAGCAGGGTTACCCCACCGTTCGATTCTCCAGTAACCACTTAGACACCTACATCTACAGTTGTGGACAAAAATCCTTGGCACAGTTATGTAATTTAACGAATTGTATGTGTTTTTACTACTAAAGTTTAAAACAAGCGCTGCTTTTGGCTTTTCAACGTAAATTGCACGTACTAGTTTTCAACATTCTATGGGGGGTGGGGGGCGAGGTTGTGCTGGTGAAGTTGTATTCGCGTTTTTTGTGTGCGCAACAGCGCCAAAAGTGCAAATTTTTTCCAAAACTTTTGTCCATGATTGTAGGTAAGAGGACGTACGACAGAATATCATAACCCTGAATAACTAAAAAGGCTTGATTTTTGTTATTTTTATTAGGGTACATAGAGGAGGACGCCATGAACAATATAACAGACATTTTAAAAGCCATCTTTATTGGCTTGGCTGCTGCTACTTTCCTTGTTAACACTGTTCGTCCGCTAAAAGCCATTGAGGTCTGCAAGGAATGTTTGATCTTCCTAAATAATAAAGTGCTAAAAACGGAAGTAGAAATTTTCAATTCACTTTATATTGGGGTCTATGAAACAATCTTTAGGGCGTACTGTGTTATCCCTGATCATGCAAAAGCACTAATCTACGGCAGGAAACTTCTTGACATTTACCGCGAGCGTGGCGAAAAAGACGAGGAAGGGAATCTCACAGTAAACCTGGCCGACATATATCTCCAGCAGTATAAATACCTAGAAGCACGAGAACTTTATGAGAAAGCGATTAATATTACGAAAGAAATGGAAGACAGAAACAATGAAGCATACACTGATGAAAAGGTTGGAATTATATCTTATTATCTCGGTGACTACGAGAAAGCTGAAGAATATCTTAAGAAAGCACTTGTTATCAGATTACAAATTGGCGACAAAAAGGGGGAGGCAGCAGATTACGCAAACTTAGGAAATGTGTTTCACTCTCTTGGTGAATATGGAAAAGCTAAAGAATATCTTGAGAAAGCACTTGCCATCACAATACAAATCGGTGACAAAAATGGAGAAGCCAGCTCGTACGGAAACTTAGGAACTCTGTTTACATCTCTTGGTCAATATGACAAGGCTAAAGAATATCTTGAGAAAGCACTTGCCATCAAAATAAAAATCGGTGAAAAAGACGGAGAAGCCAGCTCGTACGGAAACTTAGGAACTGTGTTTACATCTCTTGGTCAATATGACGAGGCTAAAGAGTTTCTTGAGAAAGCACTTGCCATCAGAATACAAATTGGTGACAGACAGGGAGAAGCCAGCTCGTATGTAAACTTAGGAACTGTGTTTATGTCTCTTGGTGATTACAACAAGGCCAAAGAATATCTTGAGAAAGCACTTGCCATCACAATACAAATCGGTGACAAAGATGGAGAAGCCAGCTCCTACGGAAACTTAGGATCTGTGTTCAGATTTCTTGGTGAATATGACAAGGCTAAAGAATATCTTAAGAAAGCAATTGCCATCACAATACAAATCGGTGACAAAGATGGAGAAGCCAGATTAAACGGAAGCTTAGGAACTGTGTTTAGATCTCTTGGTCAATATGACAAAGCTAAAGACTATCTTGAGAAAGCACTTGCTATCACAATACAAATCGGTGACAAAGAGGGAGAAGGCATCTCGTACGGAAACTTAGGAACTGTGTTTACATCTCTTGGTGAATATGACAAAGCTAAAAAACATTTTGAGAAAGCACTCGCGATCAAAATACAAATCGGTGACAAAAATGGAGAAGCCACCTCGTACGGAAACTTAGGAACTGTGTTTACATCTCTTGGTCAATATGACAAAGCTAAAGAATATCTTGAGAAAGCACTTGCCATCAAAATACACATCGGTGACAAAAATGGAGAAGCCACCTCGTACAGAAACTTAGGAACTGTGTTTACATCTCTTGGTGAATATGACAAAGCTAAAGAATATCTTGAGAAAGCACTTGCCATCACAATAGAAATTGGCGACAAAGATGGAGAGGGCAGCGCGTACGGAAACTTAGGAACCGTGTTTACATCTCTTGGTCAATATAACAAGGGTAAAGAATATCTTGAGAAAGCACTTGCCATCACAATACAAATCGGGGACAAAAAGGAAGAAGCTAGATGTTACGAAAACGTAGGAACTGTGTTTACATCACTTGGTGAATATGAAAAAGCTAAAGAATATCTTGAGAAAGCACTTGCCATTAGTACACAAATTGGTGACAAAAAGGGAGAAGGCAGCTCTTACGGAAACTTAGGAACTGTGTTTAAATCTCTTGGTCAATATGACAAGGCTAAAGAATATCTTGAGAAAGCACTTGCCATCAGAATACAAATTGGTCACAGAGAAGGGGAGGCAGCGGATTATGGAAACTTAGGAGCATTGTATTAATCGGTTGGTGAATATGTCATGGCTGAAGATTATATTGAGAAGGCACTGTCAATTACTCAAGACATTGAAGACTTAGACAAAGAGTTTAAAATTCTCTGTGTTCTTACAGTGGTGAAGTTATGCCAATACAAGATCCAGGAAGCGTTTGACTGTTTGTTTCTGAGTATAAACAAAAGTGAATCTTTACGGAGTTTCTTAGGCGACAACGACGATTTTAAGGTGTCGTCCTCAGACGTTCGCAATTTTCCCTACCAAAATCTAAGTGCATTCTTTTGTTTTTGGGGAAATCCAAACAATGCACTTTATGTTTTAGAGCTGGCACGGGCTAGAGCATTAGCAGACTTGATGGCAACTCAGTATTCTGTTGAAAGCCACATCTCAGCTGATCCGCAATCGTGGATTGGTATTGAAAATATTATGAAAAATGAAAGCAACTCTTCTTGTCTGTACATTTCTTATCATGATCATGATCTGTTTTTCTGGGTTCTCAAGACAA